ACTTTGAAGACTTAAGTTACTATCATGGAGCATTTCTTATTTTGGACAAAATGTATAACTTAATCTTAAAGGAAGAGAATCAAGGAACCTTACTGATTCAATTAATTCAGTAATTGAATTTTCTGCTATGGTAAGAACCAGTGATATTAAGAAAAAGGAAAAACATTATGCGACTTGTAGCCATTGTGGCAAAAAAGGTCATGTGAAGGAGAAACATTTCAAGCTTATTGAATTTCCTAAAAATTTCAAATTCACAAAAGGCAAGGGACATTTCAAGAAAAATAATTCTATTGTAAACAATGTTTCTACTAATGTTGGTTTTGGTTCAACTAAAGAAGTGTTTACACAACTAGGCTAAGAAGAGAAACTTATAGAATCTAGTTCTAAGTCCCAAATGTCTCTCATCAAGCATCAACTTCACAAGTTAATGGCTCTCATTAATTAAGGTAATTCTAACTATAACCATGGTAATGAAATTCTGTCCAACACTCAGCAGCCAAAACCTTCACTTGTTAACTCTAGAGTAACAGGTATTCTTTCTAACCACTTTTGTTCCAGTACAACTCATTGTTGTCCCAATAAGCTTGTACATGTTTATAATGTCAAGATTAAGCCAAATTCCTAGATAATAAATACTAAAGCAAGTGATCTTGTTTCTTGTCTACTTAAAAATTTCGCTACTACTTATCTTGTTCATAACTGTTTTGTACAACTACCTAATAACATTCAAGCAATGGTCACGCACATAGGAGCAATTAGGTTGGCATTTTTGTTGGTTTTACAAAATGTCCTTTTATGTACCATGTTGTCAATTTAAACTTGTTTCAATGAGCAAGTTAACTCATTCAAAACAAAACTATGTCATTTGTACTAATACATGTTTTATTATCCAAGACCTCACCTTTTGGAGAATGATTGGGGTTGCTAAAATCAATTTAAGGTTGTATTTCATACAAGACAATCAAGATCATTAGTATCTGTCCAAGTTTAGTATTGATAAGATTGTAAAATTTCTTTTTGCAGCTTTTGTTAATGGTTGTAAAACAATTCATAATTAGTTTGTTCTTTGGCATTTTAGGCTTGGTCATTTACCTTCTAATAAAATAAGTCTGACACATCAACAATATCTAGAAATTCATTGTACAAGTGTAGTGATGTTTCTCATTTGGCAAAGTAGAAAAA